ACACTTGTTCATAAGTTTCTTGTGATTTTCAATACATATAGTAAGGATTGAATCTAAGGATGAAATGTGGTTTTTCATATGATTTAACTCATTATTAGGCACATATGCATTGGTATTAGAAGTAGAACAAATATGATTATCTTTGAAAGAATTAAATTCATTTCTAATTGTTTCTACTTCTAAAATGGCATCATTTTTCTCATTTGATAAGCTAGCTATCTTTAAGCTAAGAGAAATGTGATATTGTTTTAATTTGTCATTATTGTTCTTAAGAATCACATTTTCTTTAGAAATGTCATCAAAATTTGATGCTAGCATATCATGATTGAATTTCAAATTTATATGCTTGCTTTTCAAATCAATAAAATTATGATGCAATTTGTTATAGGCATGCATTAAACGTTCATATGCACAAGCGAGTTTATCAATAGATAAATCATTTTCAGAATCGGACTCACATACCTTATTAGGGCTATCGCCTAGTGGTCATGTGCATGATGAAGTTTCAATTTCACTTGAAGTGGAATCCGCCAAAACACATCGGATCTCCTCAAAGTTTCCTTGATGTGCTTCTATAAATATCCATAATTTGTAAGTACTATCAAAATGAGCAAGCTTGTTAGATATAGATGAATTAATGGCATTTGGCAAAAATTCTAACAATAGCTTGTTCATGGTAAACATCTTTTTATCATTATTACTTAACTTGGATTTCTTCAAAGTGGATACAATATAAGCATCGTCAATTATTTCCATAAATCAAAATATTTAGATCTAACAAATAGTTTAAATCTAACATACCATTAAGTACAAGGGAAATTATCGAGTCTTAGAGCAATATTAATGACATAATCTAAGCTAGGTGCACCATGCATGTCCATGATAAATATGCAAGCAAAAAAAAATCACAAATCTAAGCTAGGCGACAGCTTAGCCACTTGGCGCTTTCTGAACTTTAAATCCTCTTGGTAGCGGATTCCGTCCACCTGCTCCAAAGTTTTGGCGAATTGGCGGGCAAGACGTTGGCGGCACCTCTGGCGAGCCCTCTTCGTCAGCACTAGTGCGCCCTCGACGGGCAACTCCTTGACCTTTGGGGAGTTATCACAAATGTCAGATCCGACTTTCCTGGAGGCTGGAGAGGAGGCTTCAGCAATATTCGGGTGAAGATTATCACTCTGAGTCTTCAGATCTGAAGACCAACTAACCTTCTTCAAGAAAGTGATCCTCCTATGCTTGTAGGGAGAGGAAGATCTAGAGGAGGAGGAGGATACGTACTCCTCAAACTTTTGTTGGTCAAATTCATACTTGTTCTATTCATCCACAGGGAACTTGATTAGCAGCTGCGACACGATAGCCTCGACAGCGAGGCTTTGGATCCCACTGTGGTCGCCGACGTATTTTGGTTAAAAGTTAGTTTTTTCATTAACAGACTCATCACAACTTTAATCGTTACAATGATCTCAACAAATAAAAACAAAAATTACAACTTTCTAAAAACACACACAACTGACGTTTATCACCCGCTGTTTGTGTGAGATCTTTGCCTGTGCCGGGGTTAATCCGTGGACCACCCAGCGATCAAATCAAAGTATAGATTCCGTTGACTCACAAAGGGGTTAAGAAATTGAAGCAAATATCTCAACAAAGCAAGATACCCACTCTTCTCGAGAATCACAGTTAAGTACGATCTCAAGGAAAATGGATGAATCGGACTGCAGATCTATCGAACTCTCCTTATTTATGCCAAAGAACTCACCAAGATCTCTTCATCCTCTCTGAAATTTGTGGCTCCTCACTCGCCAATCCAGTAGAGCTTTGTCAAGACTTGAGAATTTCGGATCCCTCTAAATGAAGGCCCTAGGGCCATATTTATAGGCTTCAGAAGTTTTATTTTCAGATAAGAACAACCAATTCTCTCTTATCTTCAGTTAAAATCATGTTCAAGTCAGTTGAAGAGGCTTTGGATTCGAATATACTAAAATCTGGGTGGTTAACGATGAAAAACAGGCGTGAAATAGCATTTTCGGGGCCAGGACAGTCCTGGCCAGGCCGAGACGCCGTTTTCCCCCTTTTGACTGTTTTTATTGTAACTTTCCGATCCGGTTTCAGAACAACGTGATTCAAAGTACGTCAGAAAGCTGGGGAAAAGATCTACAATCTCCTATAGGTAAATCATACGTGGAGCAGATGAGATACAAATGGTGCCTCGTCTTTCGTGAGTTAGACGTAATTCCCAATTAGATCGTTTCTTTGCTATTCTGCCATCCCATTGATTCGTACGCTTCATTGACTCACTTCATTCGCTTGTCAATGTTAGATAATCCTTTTTGACTTGGATAATATTATTTATCATCTTCTTTTCATCTTGAACTACGTGCGAGAACCCGTAGGTAATTTTGAAGCCTACAACTACAAGTTGGTAATCCTTCATGTCCATGTACCCGTGAGCTTTGACCATCAACTACAAATTGTTGGAGACTGGAATTTTAGCAAGTGAGTCAACCAACTTGTTGTTCTGCAAGCCGACCATGAGAGCAGACATAGCGATGCATTCCCTGGGTCATTGACCTCCAGCCTCTTCACCTGGAACCTCTTGAAGTAGGATCGAAGACTCTCTCTTTGGGCCCTTGCCTCATTTGAATCAACACATGAGGGGGCAGCTTCTGCTTAGTGTCAGCTAGGAGTGGTGGATGAACTTCCAGCTAAGTTATTGGAAGCTGCTGATGACTTCTTCTCGAGAGTGTTCCACCAGAGCTTGACACTCCCTGAAAGAGTGATGGGGAAGCATTGACAAATGAATGCTTCCGATGCTTAGAGCATGCTCATCACGTCATAGTAGTTATGAATATACTTGGAGGATTCTCCCTCGCCCTTATACTTCTCCACATGAGGTATCTTGAACTTCTCACATGGGGCATTCATGAGGTCATCTGAAAAAGGGGCGTTTTCGCCAATGGCTTCCGCAATCGGTCTATAAACCCGATAATATCCAGAGGCCCCCAAGGTAGCAGAAGGGGCTGGAGAGGCATGATGATGGAGGAGAGTCACAGGTTGCTCTCCTAGTGTGGTCCCTAAGGTGATCAGGGCCAGGACTCTCGCCGGTGATTTCTGGATGAGAGAGGAGACGTTGGTGAGGCTCTGCTGGGGCGAGTTGGCCGGTGAGGTGGCGCAGTCGCATACTCAACATGATCCCTCAACTTCTTGGCAGCAACATGAGGATTCTGAGAGGGGACTACTTGCTGTGCTCTGGAAGGAGGGTGAGTCTCTAACCGTAGGTCTCCACAAGACGGGGAGATAGCTAAAGCAACTTTCTGTGGTTGTGGAAGCCATCTGAGAAGCTCGCTAGTGAAGGTATAGAGTTGCTGTTGGAGAGATTGAGAAATCTTCTGACCTGTTCCTTCAAGGTGGGCTTGAGTAACATAGCTCTGGTGTGGTTCTTCAGGGTGAGACTGGTCAGCCCTATCTTTATAACCAGACATGTTTCCTCGAAAAAGAAAGATGCCCCACGGTGGGCGCCAAACAATTGATGATGACTAACCAAACTGTCAATTATATGGGGATGTATGAGGTTGATGAGGGGCCGCTCACTTCTACGAATATCTGGTCTAGAGTTGAGTGACTGAAGCCTGCACAAGTAAGAACTCGTGAGAGGATGGGGACTGGTTCCTCATGGTTCCTCTAATGGTCAAGTTAGTTAGTGAACTTGAGTAAGGGAAATAAAGAACCGTGTGAGTTTTTTTGTGCAATGTTATTAGCAGATGTAGCTTAAAATAGGTTTGATCAGAGATTAGATCAAAGAAGATCCGCCCTCTTCATGTTAGAATAGTACATCTTATTTATAGTGGTGGCTGCGTCAACATATACTTTACACGTGCCGGTCGGCAAGTGGAGGAGAGATCACTTCAGCATTAAATAAGAAGTGATCGAAGGCATGGTGGTGCCGACATGGTCCGATGAGTCATGAAGACTAACGAGGCTAGAGGCATGATGACGCCTGCTAAGCATTAAATGCGACGTCGACGTTGTGTCAGCGGGAGAGACTCGAGGTTGAAGTCGTCCTTTGGCTTAGCCGAGAAGTAACGTCTTTCGAGTCGACTTCACAAGGCGTCGAATAAATAGTCTAGTGGGCTCGTTACGAGTCGTCTTTAACGAAAGGGCCAACAAGTTTCGCCATTCGAGTTGACATAAGAAGATGTCGACTCAGTGAGTCGGCTAAGTATGGATCTTTACTGGTCTTGGCCGCTAATTTGATCGGCGCATTGCATGCAGAATTACACATGTTCGTTACTTGGCAAAGGGCTGCACTTTGACGATTGAAAACACCATAATAATAAATTTTTTTGCCAAACAGGATCTTAATGGAAAAAGTTTTATGGCCTTTAATTCTATACACCTATGGTTTCATTATCATGAATTACCAAACCAAACTTTAAAAGGGACTAAGACCATCTCCAACGCAGCGGCATTTTGAGGCGAAAAGGGAAAATGCCGCTGCGTGGGAGCTCCAATGGAGCGGCATTTGTTGCCGCATTTTGACGGGGATGAACAGCGCGACGCTATATTTGGCGTCGCACTGTTCATCCCCCATTACTGTTTTTTTTTTATTTTTTTATTTTTCAATTTTTTTTAAACCTCATACTTTTATATATTTACAATTTGTCCCCAATTGTTTCATTAAATATATAAAACAACCCTAATAATATTTAAATTTTATAATTTCACCCCAATTGTATAATGTGGACAAAATAAATTATGGTTTTTTTAAATTAAAAAAATGCTAAAATTTAACAGACATTATTATTAATTATAATATTAAAATCTAGACATACATAATATAAAACTTCATTAAAGAGCAATCATAATACATAATTTAAATATAAATTACATATCTGAAATACATAACATATAAAAACTGACACACATAATATAAAACTTCATTAAAATAAAACATAAAATACAAACTAAACATGGTGACGTTACTTAAGATGGACAAGCAACTCTCAATAATCTGGTAGATCGGGGCCAGAGTGTCCAATATCATTAAAATAATTGCCAAAATTAGAAGCAGACCCTTGTTCTTGTTGATTTCTTTTTTGTATTATTTTAATATGTTGAGCTCGAACGTACTCACGCACGTTTGGATCAGCAATGGAATTCAAATCTTTCATTATAATTTTCGTTTGGATCAGCAATGGAATTCAAATCTTTCATTATAATTTTCCATTCATCTCTATCTTTTTTCATGGCTATCTTTTCTCGTTCGATATCAAATGCTTCTTGCCTGTCCAAGCTCGCCTTGTCTAACCTGTCTATAAGTCGATTGTTGGAGGTCTCGATGGAGTCCACTACACTTGACTCATGATCATCATTTTTCCTTTTCAATTTAGCTTTTTTTACCCCAATAGGTCGTTCAGATGGAGTAAATGATGACAGTCCAGGAGATGTTGATATAGGAGATTCCGGAGTGGGATTATCTGATTGTGACGAGTCGAAGTTCACACTTTGGGATTGTCTTCGACCAACTTGTCTTGCTGTGGGGACATCATCTTTGAATTTTTCGAAATTTTTAACCATATTCCAGACATGATCAAATTTGAAACCTTTTTTGTACTTTGGTTCTTGCATAAATAACATCTTTGCTCGAACTAACTGTAAATTATAGTGAACATCAAGTTATGTATTTCAACAATAATAATAAAATTCAAACGATAATTAATAGAATACTTACAATATCTTCATCTGAAGCACCACTTGGATTCAGATTCTCTACTTGTCTCAAGCACGCATTCAATTTCCTTACTTCATTACTTATGATTTCCATTCGAATTGATCGGCTCGTACGCATCTCAAAATGCTGATCTCGAAGTTCATTGTATTTGTCCTCCACACGAGACCAAAATGCATCTCGAGACTGGTTTCTACCGATAATAGGGTCTTGATAAATATCCAAGAATACTTGACAAAGGAGCACATCTTCAGTAATCGTGTACCCAGTTGATCGAACAGACATTTTTTTGTAAAAAGTGGTTGGTTTGGAGATCAGAAATACTTCGAATTGGGTGGTTTGAAGTAGAACTCGTGAATGTTATTTATAGCCAATCCAAATTTGTTTTTTTTTTTGAATTTACAGCTCAGCTCTCCTTGAATTGTGTGAAAGCTTTGTACGAGTGGGAATCAATTTTTGAAATCAGGTCAGCTTTACACATTGTCCAACGTATACACAGCTCAGCTCTCCTTGAATTGTGTGAAAGCTTTGTACGAGTGGGAATCAATTTTTGAAATCAGGTCAGCTTTACACATTGTCCAACGTATACACAGCTCAGCTCTCCTTGAATTGTGTGAAAGCTTTGTACGAGTGGGAATCAATTTTTGAAATCAGGTCAGCTTTACACATTGTCCAACGTATACACAGCTCAGCTCTCCTTGAATTGTGTGAAAGCTTTGTACGAGTGGGAATCAATTTTTGAAATCAGGTCAGCTTTACACATTGTCCAACGTATACACAGCTCAGCTCTCCTTGAATTGTGTGAAAGCTTTGTACGAGTGGGAATCAATTTTTAAAATCAGGTCAGCTTTACACATTGTCCAACGTATACAGCTAAAAGCAAATTTGAATTTTGTGACAAATTGATAACAGCTGGAAAGCATTTCCTAAAATCAGCTCAACTTTACACATTGTTCAATGTATACAGCTAAGCAAAGTTTTATAAATAGCATACTAGATTAGGTACATCCACACAATTACTCATTGTTGTGTTAAAATTATTATTCTCCATTTCTGCATACTTCAGTCATTCTTTTCTTACTTCAAAAATGAATTTCGATGTTGGAGGTCCATCATACTTATCATCATCTTCATCTTCGGATGATGATAATTTTCTGTCCAATATCATTGCAGAGATTGATGAAACCGAAGAAGTAATTTGTGAGTACATCAACAACAACATGATCCTCGTTAACAATTTACGTCAACACAACTACCAACCGATCCATGGTGGCTCGATTCCTGGTCATGCAGTGATCAACCGCGATCGAGAAAATGCGCATCAGAATTTGGTCATAGATTACTTTGCCGATAATCCACGTTTTGGAGAAGATATGTTTCGTCGTCGATATCGGATGTCAAGAAGTTTGTTCCTTCGTATTGTTGATGCAGTGAAAGATCATGACTATTACTTCCAACAACGAAGTGATGGACTTGGTAGAATGGGATTATCACCGTTACAGAAAGTAACAGCTGTTTTTCGCATGTTGGCATACGGTCTACCAGCTGATGCTACGGACGAATACGTTAAAATAGGTGAGTCAACAGCAATTGAAAGTATGACAAAATTTTGTCGTGCTATGGTGGAAATATTCGCAGAGCGGTATCTACGAACACCTAACGCTAACGATATTGCTAGGCTACTCTATATTGGAAAAAAACGTGGTTTTCCAGGAATGTTAGGAAGTCTTGATTGTATGCATTGGAAATGGAAAAATTGTCCAACAGCATGGTCTGGGCAATACACAGGACGTAGTGGGTCACCAACTATTATCCTCGAAGCTGTGGCAGATTATGATCTTTGGATATGGCACGCATATTTTGGTATGCCAGGCACCAATAATGATATCAATGTGCTGGAGTCATCTAATCTTTTCTCTAACCTAGCTCAAGGTATTGCTCCTCCCGTTTACTATGTTATTCAAGGAAAAGAGTATAATATGGGTTATTATTTAGCTGATGGTATATATCCGAAATGGGCTACTATTGTACAAACAATCCAACAGCCACAAGGTAGGAAGAAAAAATATTTTGCCATGAAACAGGAAGCATGTAGAAAAGATGTAGAACGTGCGTTCGGAGTTCTCCAATCACGATTTGCAATCGTGGCAGGATCAGCACGTTTTTGGAAAAAACATGTATTACATGACATAATGACTGCATGCATTATTATGCACAATATGATAATCGAGGATGAACGTGATCTTTATGCACCAATTCAAGAAGTGAGGGAAGCACCAACACCAGAAGTTGATATGGTAGCAGATGAAACTACAAGATTTACTCAATTTATTACACGTTACGGAAAAATCAAGGATAAAGATGCCCATATTGCGCTTCGTAATGCATTGATAGATCATCTATGGGAGGAATACACTAATTCAGATAGTTAAGTGCATACTAAATTTGTAATTTTTATATTGTTGTTAATGTTTAATTATTTTCTTGTATTTTATTTTCTGTTGTGTTCTTGAATGTAATATTTTGGCAATATCAATAATAAAAATATAATATTTTAGCAATCAAGTTATTTTAATTAATAAAATAATATTTTATTGTTTTATTAGTTTAATTTTTTAAATAATAAATCATTTGTTTTGGAAAATATGTGAAAAAATAAAATTTGATATGTGAGGTTAATTGTTGAAATAGTTAAAAATATAGGGAATAAAAAATAATCATATAAAAGTAGATAAAAAGAAAGATACTGAGAATATTCCTTTTTGGTGCAAAAAATGGTGCAATGGGTTGGAGATGAATTACTGTTAGATGTGACTTTTGCACCATTTTGAGGCAAAGGGTTGGAGATGCCCTAATATGCAAAAATGGCAACGAAGACAAATAAAAAACTACCAGCCGTTAGATTCGTGCCCCTTCACTGCTTCACGTTTGCTAATAAATGCCCCCGCCAGCTTGCGTCTCCTCCAACTTCACGCGCCCGCAACAAGCGAAACAAAATCCTCTAGAGAGAGAGAGAGAAAGAGAGAATAAGGAGGGGGAGAGAGAGACTCATCGAAAAATTACGATTACCCCAGGCTCGCGTCCGCCCGATGGCCGAAACCTAAACATCTGCCCGGCCGCAGCGGCGGCGCATAATCCCCCTCGTCAACCCCTCCGATCCCTCCTCCGCGTCTTCGTCTTCCTCCACTCGATCCTCCTTTGGCTCCTCCTCCTACCCCGCCAGAGTCTTCGCGGCCACCTCCGCCTCATCGCGCGTCGTCTTCTCCGAGGTCGTTTCTCGGCCAGCTAACTGGTGTTAGGTTGCGGCGGGCGACGGAGGAGGAGGGGACGTTAGGAGGAGGAGGGCGCTGGCTGAGGGGCTGGAATTTGGGGGAGGTGAGAGCTTTCTTATTGAGGGGAGGCGGCGGAATTTGCTTTTTTGTCGGTCGTGGGCACCGATCGCCGGCGATCTCAAGTAAGCCTTCGTCGAATTTTCTGCCTTTGGTAAAAAGAAGGAATTTTGACGAAATATGATTCGATCACCCTTATTAGGGGTTAATTGATCTGCAGTAGTGCATTGTGCTTGTCGATTACAGATCTTGTGATACCGAGAGCATGAAATTACTATTATTGTGATATATAAGAAGAAACCATTAAAGCTTAAATTTGCTTAAAGTGGATTAATTCCTTTTTTATTGGTCTGGTAAATTGTTATATGCTTTTATCCTTTTTTGAATTTTTTATTTTGGTTTAATTTAGGGTTAATGGCTATTAGACCCCTTGCCCCTGTAGTACCACCCAAAATAGACCCTGTATAGTTCTATTTTTGCAAACAGACCCCCTAAGTGAATATTTTTGACTCTTAAAATCGTTAACAAAAAATTTGAGGTGGATAGACTCCCCCATAGTTCTATTGGTGAGGATAGACCCCCATTCCTTTATTAGAAAAAGTTCAATGAGGAGTTGTATTCGCACTTGGGCCAATAAGTACCGGTGGTCTATTCACAAAAATAGAACTACAAGGTGTCTATGCGCAATTGAGCGATACTACAGGGGGTGTATTCGCAATTAACCCTTTAGTTTATACTGAATGGGTTTCCTGGATGAGATCGTTCAGATCTTCGGGTGGTCTTAACTAAATACTTAATTAGCTAAAAGCTTTTACCTAAAAGCTTCTTCTTCTTTGTAGTTTGTTATCTGTATCTAGTACAAGCTGTGATCTCTGTTTGATGGAACTCCAGAATACTAGGAAGTCCACGTTTAATTTTATGACGTCTGGCATAGATTGGTATTGATAACTTGAATAGACTGCAGTCTGCATATTGCAGATACTGTGCAGGATAAGGGAGCCTTAAATGTAAAATGTTATAGTCGCTTGAGGTTGGTATATAAGTCGACACTTTTTTCTCATTGCAAATTCTTGAAACTTCCACTTACCTTATGCAAAGAGTTTCTCAGTAAAATCCTCTGGTTTTCGTCCACATTTCATTTTCAGTTTGTTTCTATCTTAAGGATAAATTCTTCTTCATTATGAATGCATAAATGTCCTGATTTCTGAATATGCAGCACAAATATGTTAACCTAGTATTTCATGTTGATCTGCAAGGATGCAAGTGTAGCATGTGTTACCTACTGCCTTGGGAAGTTGAATATTCATGCTTATCTCCTGGTTTGCAAAATTGTTGTTTATTATGCTTAGAAGAATAAGAGTATGCATTGTCTTAGATTTCCCGTGCATTGAACAGATTACTCTTTCAACTATTTTATTATTTTCTAAAAAATGAATTCCTTATGTAGAGTTTTTTCAAGAAATCCTAGACATCTGCTGTTCTGTGTCATGTACCAGGCCCTTTAGGACACAGATAGAAGACATTACATATGATATGACATATTGCACCAGTTTGATGGGCAGGTAGGACCATAAGTACACAGATATTACTGATGGCTATGACACATATTTCAGTTTTCTTTACATGGTAGAGGTTATATCTAACCAACTACTAAACAACATATAGCTTTAGTATGGGGATTTACTCAATTTTGTATGAGCATCGCCTGGCATAAGTATTCCTGAACTTGTCCAATTGCGTTATAAACTATTTAGAATTTTGTGTAGAGGATGAGTTTTATGCATGGCTTGCACCTATGTCTATCCTCTGGGATATGGAATGGCAAAATCATGCATGTTCATGTTGTCAAAATCCCATGTTACCTAAGCATCAGAAATGTGGTTTCTTGCACTTGGTTTGTAAAGTCATGTCTTTCTTTGCTTCAGGTGACTGCTTAGATGCTTTTGGTTCTCTTTAATATAGATGTTTATAGTATTTTAGCTAAACATGCCAATTAATTTTCAGATTCTGCATGAAAAAATTAATAAAACTTGGTTTGTTCCATTGATGCAGGGGTATCATGGTGATTATACATGGCCTGAACGAACACAGGTAAGAAATATGTAGGGTGATAGTTGACATGGCTGTCTAAAGCATTATTGCTTTTAGGGATCATAGGTTCATGTTGTAATATTTCAATGCAGCCGTTAGATTCTGTCCGGATGGTTGTTCGTGTCAGGCTCTTTCATAGAGAATAAATCATTTACTCGATGGAGGATGAGCTTTAGGTGAATTTAAGGCATCCATGTTAGTCAAACATGTTATACGAGCTTCGCTAATAGTTTTCTTCTTTCTGTTTCCAGTGGTAGATATAGACAGTTTGCAAAGCAACTAACTTCGTGCAACTTTAGGGTGTATGCAATGGACTGGACTGGCTGCACTCAACTCTATTATGGTAAACAGGATCTCTCTTGAATATGTTACCTTATTTGTCCCTTTAATGCAGGGGAAATCCTAGAAATGTACTAGGATTGACCCTTTCTATTATCAGAAACAGAAAATCTAGGTACTTCTGTGTATGCCTGTCAGATTGCTGATTCTGCATTGTATTTTTTGTAGACTACTTCCACACTGAGTTGCTAGAACTCTGGTGTGGTAGGCTGCTGATCAGAAATTAATAATGTTTGTTCTTCCAATCATTACAGGTCATGGAGGTAGTGATGGGTTGCATGGATATGTTCCTTCACTAGATTGTGTTGCGGCTGATGTTGTGAGTTTGAGTCTTATTCTTCTCTTTCTTTGGCAGTGAGTCATGGTATCATGGATCTGTTTGTTAGTGAGAGTGTATCTAACTGGATTCTTCCGTGGCTTGTGTTGTTTTTAACTTTTATATGCTGAACTAGTTTCTCAATGATGTGCTATGCACATTTGAGGGGAAACTCTATAGCTAAATACAATTATACTTCATGTACATCAAATATATTTGGAATGTTTGTATTTGGAATGTGCGCATTTTTTCCTTTAAGAAAAATTTGATTTGATTTTTCTAGAAAATTTAATGTTTATATGAAACTAAATGCAGCACAATTTGTACAAAAGGGAGATAAAAGTTAATGAGTCATGACAAAAATTTGACACTTATCAAGTGTTTATTATAAACGGAGAGAGAGTGCGAAGATTTAGGTTAAATATGTCTAAATTAAACATGACATGATTTCTCTAAGTGGGAAGATAAAAATTACTATTGCAAAACTGCTCATATATTAAATTTATCCATCTAAAGACAATCATTCCATGCGCATGCGCTACATGTTATATATAATATCTTAATATAAATACTATGTAAAATTAATGAAAATGATGATTAGTTTAGTATTAGCTAAGAGTGAAGTGTATAATGCAAAAAGCTAACTTTAAAAAACTCTTTAAAATTTTTAATTTTATGTAATTTTACTTTTTATCTTATCTAATCCACCGGTTAGACATGATTCTAGATACTCAAGTTTTCTTCTCATTGACTATTATAAAAAAAATCAAAATATTATTTATAATATTAATGTTCAATATACGTTTTCTATTAGTGTCACATAATATTTATCTAAAGATACATTTAGTTATATATTATTTTCTACTTTGCACAATTTAGGACATATTTAATATACTTGGAGTTTACCCTGCTTTTTTATGCAGTATAAATTATCCAGTGCAACACAATGCACATTGTTCGTGTCTAACCAAATGTCTTTATCCAGTTATTATACACTTACCCTTTCTCATATAACAGGGTATTTTCGTTAAAAAAATTAAGTTGGAAAATCCCGGTGTGCCCTGTTTTCTTCTCGGTCACTCTACTGGAGGATCAGTGGTTTTGAAGGTAACGTAACTAATACTACTTCCTGCTTAGAGCTTGATTCTCATCCTTTTATTACTCTTGTTGGTGCTTCTCAGTAATTGTCGAACAATACAGGCAGCTTTGCAGCCTCATATTGAAGCTATGTTGGAAGGAGTTATACTAACGTCCCCAGCATTGCGTGTAAAGCCAGCTCATCCCCTCATTTCGGTAAATTCTTGTACTCTTTTTTTTCTCCAAACAATTTGTTTCTATTTGATAATATAAGGTGAATATGGTCTTATATTTTTAGGATGAAATTTTGCATGATATGCTATTTTCATTGGCAGTAAATAAGTATTGGTATTTGATATTGGGGTGACATGTCAGATGCTGACTGACGGATGTTTTCAGGTAGACATTCCACACTGTTCATATTGAAGTGATCGCTCATATTGCTACAAATACAGATGGAAATATACAGACCCACCAAACTACACATATCATGAAGAAGAGTGACTTGAGTCCAGTCTATGCATAGTTGACTATATCAAACTATTATCAAACACTAGTACTCCTAGTGCACATGATGCGTGCAAGACACAATATAGATTTGTGTCGGAAAAATTATTAGCAATAACTTAATAATTAATGATAAATATTAAATATTAATTGTGCAATGTTAGGAAGAAGTAAAGAACGTTTGTTTCATGCACAGGCTTTGATACATAATTGCACATGTGAGTCTCTCAAATTAAAGCAAAACAGAATTATAAAATAAGATCAAAAAATAAAATAAAAGAATATCAATAAAATAAAAATAAAATAAAAGATAGGATACGAGCTAACAAAATTTACACATGAGAATTTTTATTTGTATTAGTTTACTTACAAAAATGAAATGTATCGGCTGTGCTTACAAACTTTCAAAAAAAGTGATAATCAATAGTCTAGAAGCATCAACCCTTTTTATTTAAAAAAAAAAATTCATATATTAAGTTTAAAATCAAGCATCCTAACAATTGATAGCCTAATTGTATGATTTTCTTTTTGAGAAAAAACTAACATGAAGGAATGGAATTTATTAGAAAAGATCAATAATCAATTATATAAAGTCTTTGATAAAATTTACACAATAAAGGATTGCATAATACTGTCAAAATTTCTACCAAAATTACATGGGATTTTTTTTGAAATATTATTAAAACTTTGTAATTTAATCATTAATTACTATCTTCCATGTAGCCAAAAAAAGATATAAATGAAACATCTAACTTAAGACTATTGAAATTGAAAGTTCTTCAAAAAACTCTCAAGATCTTCTAACTTCTTGCCAGCCTACTTAGTATTTCACCGTAAAAAACAAAGAGAAGTCTAGGATAAACTCCAATAAGCATACAAAAGTCCTTAAGCATATCATGAAATTGTGAGAATCATCTATAATTTAGGGTATTACAACCTAAGAGATGTAAGAAAGTTGTAAAAAGCAGATATGTCAGTGTCGTCAGCATCTGGGGTGGGATTAGGGTCGGGTTTGGATTTGGTATCTGGTTGTGTGTTTTGTTGGCCAAGGCTTTGAGGGATGACCATGAAATGTTGTTTTCTCTCTCATGGAGTTTTGGGGAAGGAAATAATATTTTTTTTGCATTTCTCATGGAGTTTTGGGGAAGGAAATGGTGATTGTGTGGGGATAGTTATGTGACTTGTAGTTATAATTGGAGAAGCCTTCAAAAAAGGTGGGCAGTTATGTGATTTGGAGTTAGTTTTTCTTTATGCATTTTTCCAAATTTGTTCTTTTATAAATTTTAAATCACTTTTGATTTTGGGGACATTTCTTGGAATTAATCGAATTCATGACTCACAAAGGATTGAACCAAAAATATTGACCAAAAGGGTGGCTTTTCTTTATTAATTGTAATAGATTTATAGTTATTAGATAGATGACTTTTACTTCTAATGTTTGAGATGCCTTCTAGACTTAAATTTTATGCAATTTTACTTCAGGATGAAAGCTAATATTGTTTACTCACAAAAAGTTTTATATAGTAATGCAGAATCTATATTTTATCTGATTTTCATGTTTTCTGATTTCCATAGAAGCTAATAATAATTTACCTATGTGACCTTTAAAGCTTAGCCTCATTTTCTTGTAGTTTTGAAATTTTAGCTTTTAGCATTAAACGAAAATATAGAAAAGTGCATTTCACAATTAACAATTATGGATTTCACAAGGTCACTGGGGAAACCTATCCAGTGATTGTTATCCACTTAGGGCCCGTTTGGATGACAAGAAGTATCGGAAATAAGAAGTAAATCAAAGAAGTAACTTTTAAAATTATGAAGTAGGAAGTAGTGGAAGTAATACTTTTTTTTGTTTGTTTCATACATTTTTGGAAGTAACGAAAATAGCACTTCTTCCACTTCAGTCACTTTTTTTGTTTGGATAACAATTGAAATATTGTTAGGAAATAACTAACGCATGATATAAAACATAGTGAGAATGCCTCCCTTTATTATACTTTAATCAATACTATAACTCTGTTCAAATACTATAGCATTTTAAATTTAACTATGATAATTTATAAAACTTCACAATGCATTCACATGATTTTTCAAAATTTTAATAAATATTTTGATGGATGTTTCCAATATATGAAGAATTGTGTATGGGGGTTCAAATAGTAGATAGTTAAAACAAAAGGCTTGTTATAGTGGTATGAATAGGGTCCCAAACTCATTCATGTACTCTCATTCGTAATAAATTAAACTGTCATAAAGATAAATCATCTGATTGTTTAATTATACATTCCCATCAGATGGTTTAATTTTAGGAGTGTGTTACATTGGTAAGGATGAGGTTCATATAAAAAGCTTTGTTATGAAAATCTTTCTTTTGTTTAATATGAGTTATGTGCAAAACTTGACTAGTAAAAACCACCTCCAAGAGGGCAACGCCAATCCTAACCGATCCAGATTTCGTGCCGTCCCTTTTCACATGTGACAATATACAGCTTTTTGCTTCGGAGCCCAAAGTGACCGAAAAAGTTTCGGAAAATAGATGTGACACGTAGGCGCCGCATCATCAAATAAGGAAGTAGAGGAGGTCATATTTTTGAATAAACAAACAAATTTTTTCCGCTCGGAAGTAGTAGAAATGACTTGTACTTCCTTTACTTCAGCTACTTCATAGCTACTTCTGTGCAAACAAATAAACAGGGGCTTAGCTGGGGTACCAAGGGAAAAAGAGTTCTTGGATCACGCAAATCCTCAAATCTCCTTGCCAACTATCTAGTGTACAGGGAGCACAAGATAGTTTCCCATTTGATAAAATGATTAGCCAGAGAAGTTACACAGTGGATTTAAAGGCAACAAATTTGCAGCGTAGATTGTTTATCTTCAATTATGCCTAGGGCTGTTTCTTTATATTTATAGAACAGCAGTACCAGAGTAGTGGATCTAACAAAACACTTAAACTTTTCACAGGTTTTGGCTCCAGTTTTTTCTCTTGTACTTCCCAAGATTGCCTTCAAGGGGGCCAACAAAAGGGGAGTACCAGTTTCTAGAGACCCTGCAGCATTGCTAGCCAAATACTCTGATCCCTTGGTGTACACAGGATCAATTAGGGTTAGAACGGGCCACGAGATACTACGCATATCATCCTACCTCACTCAGAATTTAAGATCAGTCACCGTCCCTTTCTTAGTCCTCCATGGAACTGCTGATAGGGTTACAGATCCTTTGGCCTCTCGAGATCTCTACAACGAGGCTGCATCTAGATACAAAGATATAAAATTGTATGAGGGATTCTTGCATGATCTCCTGTTTGAGCCTGAGAGGGAGGAGATAGGCGCTGATATTATTAACTGGATGGAGAGGAGATTACAGCAGCAAAGCTGAATATAGGGGCGTGCGATCATAACTTGTAGATTCTGGGAAAGGCTCGATGTTCTGTATGTTTGTTAAGGGTTGTGGACATAAACACGTGTTGGTAGCTTTTATTATGAGCGTATATCAATTGCATTGTTGCGCTGTTCTGAATTATATCGTGGGTAAGTGTATGATGACTATCCTCATCTATTATAGTGTATTGTGGAAAGCAAGCTGCAAGGAAATTCATCTAACAATTTAAATAGAACCGAGTCTCTTGTTGATCTTGTTGATTTTGAAGTCTGGAGTCCTACTACTGAAGTAGTTGGACAACAATTTTCAGTTGAACTTGTGGCGAATTTTTTTAACTTTGAAGGCTCCTAAGATTAAGACTTCTTGTTTATTTAGTTAAATTATGGACTCCTTCATCAAAATAAAGAAATTTTAAGCTAAAGGTACAATTCGGTTATCATCCGAAAATGTTAAAAGGGTCACCTAGCTCCTCATACCCTGCTTTGGATTAAGAGGAGAAGGACTAGCTTAGAGATCTTTATTTTTCGCTTAGGTTTGGTTTGGATAAGGCCATCGCTGGAGAGGTTAATCCTGCCTAGCTATCTATGCATCAAGAGTAATGGAGTCCCTTGGAATGTTAAATGGACTTTTATGAGAGAGACCGAGGAAAACATTTAACCTAAAAAACTTAAGCTATTAGGGATCAACCATAACTTTCTTCTTAATATTTTTACTTGCAGATGGATGTCCAGTAATCTCTCTTTCAACTATGTATCTCAATCATCCGCGGAAACTCACGGTCCTTCACTCGCGTGGTCTAGACTGACGATAATTAAGAAACAATGTGACAGCAAATGATCACAAAACTTTCTAGGACATTCTCGAGCGCTTATCCGATATCCGTAGATTAACTTGTCATGGAATTTTCGACCATCATCACTTTGACTTCGTCTAAATCAACAACTACGGATCATGACGTGGCTACCGACATTAGAAAAAAAAAAAAATATCTAAAAAGTGTGTGTATGCATAGAACCCAACATTAACATCCAAGTCCTAATTTGAAGATCAAATGCTTAGGATCTGTAGGTATCTGATATCCAAGTGTGATTCTGATCTGCAACTTTTAGATCTGGATTTAATGTTATGTATTAATCAGTTTAGTATAAACTCTTCATACCATTTCCAACTTTACAATGGAGATGAGGGAAAAAAAACAAGAGAATGATTCAAGTGGAACTAATAAATAATAATGTAAGTGTTTGTTGACTTGAAAGGTTTTATTTTCCTTATGATTAGAGTCCTGCTTATAAGGACATGGACTAGAAATTTTGCTTGAATTCATGACAACTGTTTCTTTTTTTTTTATTTTTTATTTTTTTGGGACCCGATCGAGGGTACTCTATAAAAAAATCACATGATGAGGAAGAGAAATATAATAAGTGTCTAATAAATTTTTTTAAAGTTGGTAATTGTACGGATACAATAGTCTAATTAGACTAATACATACAATAGTTTGATATCATTGATATTGATTGCACTCATACTACATCCTTGCACTGGTTTAGAACTGATATTGTGACATATTGTTACGTGTGTCACAATCTCCTTTCTTCATGTACGATTTTTTTGTAGAGTCCTCCATGAAGTTAAAACTAAGATTGCTTACTTAACAAGTTAAAAGGTGCAAATTCGTCGTAAAATACACAAAAGAAGGGAGCGAATAAAGTTACAGTCCAGTTAACATCTCAAAGGCTCGCTTCCTCTTTACCATGCTTGGATTAGAAGCAAGCAAGCGTCGAGATCTTTGCTTCGCTTTTGCTGTGGATAAGCTCGTTGTTCGGGAGATTCCAACCAAATTTATTAAAACTTCCGTGTGATCGAGGATTAAATTTTGGCGCCAATTTGTCTTTTACATGCAAACCCTTACTTGTAGAATTATCTGTTGAAATGAATACGAGAAATCATTACCAGTGTCTCCCGACATCCAGGAAAAAGCATCAAAGGCGAAGTGTATATATACGGTACTCTGGATACCTGTTCTTTAACAAAGCAATGGAAGGAGAAAAGAAAAAGAGGAAAAAAAAAAGCATAAAGAAGAAAAAAGTGAAAGATCATAATTGCAGATCATATTCTTCATGTAAAAGTGAAAGATCATATTCTTTTTTGTTTTTAAATGTTTTGGTTAATTGCAGATCCATTATTTGTACTATGAGGATATAATCAGTTATAACCATTTTATTAGCATTTTAACTCTAAACTCATGACTCAATATTATTTCGCAACCAGGTGCCCTCGATCAGTTTGGCTAAAAATCTACTTGCCCTCTGAGTTGTAGTTTTTAAATGTGCGTAATTTGCTGATGCATAATTCCCG